CGACCTCACTCTTCTCTGGGTTTGCGCGTACCTCTTCCACGGTTGGAATTCCCACAGTGTTTGCCATTTTGCCGAGAACGATCTTGCTTACTGCCCATATCATCAGGTTGTCATGTTCTCTTGCGGCAGTGTTGGTAATGCTCGGTGCAATCGATCTCAGCAGATGAAAGAAGCGTGGAACGCCAGACAAACGTAGCAGTTGGTAGCTTTCTTGCGGGTCGTCAAGTGTGGAAAGGCGGCGTATCAACTCAGCAGGGTTACCGCGGGCGAAGTTGGTGACGAAACTCCTCTGGAAGCACTCTGTCCCTACTGGGACTCCAACAATGGCCATACCACCTTCAGCAACCGAGAGACCCGTTTTCGTCAAATCTCGCTGTTCGTCGTTTGTCAAAGAGGAGAAGAATAATCCTTCTGGGAAAAGGACTTTCGATTTCGGGAGGCTGAGCTCAATGCCTTTTTGCAGCAGGTGGTCTTGGATCCAGTTGGTTACGGTGGCGATGGCCTGAACATTTCTAGCCAAACCTGATGGAAGATGCACTTGGAGGTCGTCGACGTATCCAATGAGCTTGGCTCCTGGCACTGGTGCGTGCCACGGTACCCCCCCCTCCACCTTCGCCGCCTCGTCCCAGTCTGGCTTCGGGATTCCGAAGAAGCTCCGCTTGTCGGGCGTGGAGCCATGTCTGGTATCGAACATCTTCAGGTCGGCCTTCAGGCATATCAGCCAGTTCTGCTCCGGGCTTCCCCGGCCCGGGTTCTCCCCACCCACCAGTGTGAAGAACTTAAAAAATATCAGAACCAACATTTTCGTGTCCCGCCCCAGGAAGGCACCACTTACACATACCAAGATCTTTTTTTATTTTTCATGAGTATCTTCGTTCTTCTCTACTCAAGCCCCGCCCATACATTAAAAAAACAAAAATGTTACAGGGTGTTTTTTCTTTGTTTTCTTAATATCACACCACAAATCCATCTCTATCTATAGAAACAAGTACAGGGTGTTTTGAGTCCGTGGTTGCCGAAAAATTATATCAACAGTTATCACGACGACACCGGTCGCCCTGGTGGTCTGGTGGTATCCTCGTAATCCGCTAGTCGCAGAGATCGTGAGTTCGAATCCCCGTGGGGTGAAAAATTTACGAAATTTTAGTTGCCGGTGAAAGCGAAATATAGCTAGAAAGCTCTCGTGAGTACCAAACTTCGACGTTAGCACCGTTGACGAGGGAAAGGGACGGCTGGACCCTTCTCGCGATAAAAGTAAAATTCAGCACGCACCGCAGGAGGAATGTGTGGCATGAAAAGAAATGAAAAGAAAAAGGCCCTGGTGGTTACCCCCTCCTGTGTGACTCTGGATGGTAATTGTACGAAAAAATACACTGAAAAGTGTAGTACTCTACATACATACGCTGTGAGAGTAGTGCACGTCTCACCACGAAAAACGGGGGGACTGTCGCCATAATAAATAGGACGAAAACACAACACCCCCCCCCGGAAATACCTTAAAAATCCTATACGAAGACGAACGCCTCAAATCGATTTGGTCCCCTGAACAACTCTTTCTTGTGGCAAATAGGATGTAGATCACTGCTACACAAAAAAAAATAAAAAAGTGAAAAACTCGTGAAGTTATGGTCGGTCAACCAAAATCGGTCTCACACTTTCCGGCACTGTACGCCAACGCACGCTGCACACCTTCGTGTGAGACTGAACTCGACAGCCTTGGGCTGCCCCCGACCGCCAAAACGTTTGACCAACGGAACATGTACTCATACTCGAGCGATGGTCGCAATCGGATGGGTGTAGTGACGAATTCAAGACGTAGATAGATAGACATTGCGGTGTCTTGACGGTTAGTAAAGGTATACAGCACACACATCTTTCTGTGGCAAGTGTACACGGCAGATCAGTTTGGACGTGAGTTCAAGCACGTCTCACATGTGTTGCTAGGGTTCGGACGTTAGGCCGCGCGCGTGGGCGAGTTCGCGTGTGCACACCAGCACCGACGCGTAGAAGCACACAGGCTTGGCAGTGCAGAGAACTGCTGTGTCTCCGCAGTGTTAGCAGCAGCCAACACCCTCAACACGTCTTGTATATATAGGCTATGCAGGACGTGGTTATCCCGGCCATACACCGGGTACGGAAGGCCGTCAAGCCGTGAAGATGCACACATATCGTTTGCAACACTGCTGCTGCTGTAGCGGAGAAAACTTGCCTTCCCCTGCTACATATGTAGTCTGCGCGTCAACAGCAGTACGACACTGACCACGCTCATCACGCAATACGCTGTGCCTCGCCTTTCCGTTGTAACCTGAAATACCTAGACTACTCTACAACAACATTTACATTTTGCATTCATGAACTTGCTTGGACGAACGCCATACCCAACATTGACGCACGCTTACTCTCAGCCGGTGCCCTGCTGTACGCAAGCCGCTTGCTCAGCGGAACGCTCACATGTTTCACGAATTTTCTTCACACGGAACAAACGGAACCGCAACAATAGTGTTATTCATGTTGTAACCGTCTACCGCCGTACTGCTGTACCAACGATGGGAAGATCTGATGTTGTTACTCCACGTCAAGCCACGCTATATTCAATTCAAACTCTGGACAGTCAGAGAACTAACTGTACATTGGTTGCCGCGTATCACCTTTGCTTTCATCGCCACTCACCAGGGCGTTAGTTAGCGTCAGCGAACCTTAAACTTTGCGGCACGACTCGCGGCGTGAATATTTCTTTCTTCGCGGTGTTTTTTTACTTTTACACCTGCATCCTCTTATCGGATGGTTCTTACTGTGAATACATCTCCATCACTTTTTGGGCAAGCCTTCATCAACTTCTTCACATATAGGTACCCCTGCGTTCTCACCGCACACTACGCGGTGCCACGCCTTTCCACTCTTACCCGCGCACGGCAACAGATACTCATAAGCTTTCCATCTTCTTTACCGTCTTCATTTTTTTTCACCGTCATCGATTAATTTCGCTTGCGATTCGAATAATAAACGGCGTGTCTCAATCCCCCCCGGGGGGGGGGAATAGTGTCGAAGCACCCCCCCGTCTATATATCCGCCCGCAAGTTACCAATCAAGCCAGGACACGCACGGCTGTGTTGCTGTGATGAAGGGCTATCGCGCGTAAATCGTACAGCGGAAACGGTGCAGGTTTGGTGCAGCCATGGCTGATGGGCAAAATACAAACCGTTGCCCCGACCTGCCCCTAGAGGGGGGATTAGTGTCTAAACATCCCCCCGTCTGTATATACGCCCGCAAGGCACCAATCGAGCCAGGACATGCACGGCTGTGTTGTGATGTTGTAGTGCTATCGCGAGATACGTCGTACAGCGGAAACGGTGCAGGTTTGGTGCAGCCATGGCTGATGGGCAAAATACATCTGGCGCCCCAACCTGCCCCCCAGGGGAGGATTAGTGTCTAATCCCCCCGTCTGTATCTCCGCCCGCAAGGCACCAATCGAGCCAGGACATGCACGGCTGTGTTGTGGTGATGTGGTGCTACCGCGAGATACGTCGTACAGCGGAAACGGTGCAGGTTTGGTGCAGCCATGGCTGATGGGCAAAATATATCTGGCGCCCCAACCTGCCACCCAGGGGGGGATTAGTGTCTAAACAACCCCTCGTCTGTATCTCCGCCCACAAGACACCAATCGAGCCAGAACATTCACCGGTAGAAGTGTGTGAAAACATGCACGTACAGCGCACAGCAGCGGGCAGCAGGTGAGGCGACCATCATATGAAGTATTCCTGCCCACAGCTATATACGCACCCAATGGGTCTGACTTCCACGTCGTTTATCACGTATCCATTTATTTGTTGACGTTTGGGATTTTTTCCGATTGTTTGCGTTCTCTTTTTTTTTTTGGCGAGCGAGACCAGACGAATGGGTCATTAGATCCCTGATGTGATCAACTTTGCATTTGGGCACGGCACAACGTATACACATAGCGATCACAGCAGGGGTGCAGTGCTGCTGCGTGCTGTGTGTTGTGCGTGCATCATGTTTGCAATTCTACTGCGGTTCTTGTGTGGCCATCGGAGCCTTGTACAGAGGTGCGAGGTCCATGGTGGGGTATAAGACATATCCCCCCCCCCCTCTAGCCCCCCCCTGGTGTTTGCCATCGGGTTTGGGTTTTCATCGCTTGGCAACGGCGTTGTAAAACAAGCAGCCCCCCCCGGTGTTGGTTGTCCGTTGTACAAGCAGGAGAGGGAAGTGTACGTGACTGAGCTGGGAAAAATAGATGGAACGTACAGGGAGATGTTTGAGGCATGGAATAGAGAGGAAAGGACGGTAGCTGTAGTGGGGCATAGGAGGTGGGTTGAAAAGGCGGGAAGGGATATCGTTAGGATAGACAGACTAGGGAAGACATTTTTGAGCCACCTTTGGCAAAGTAGAAAGGAACGATTGGCCATCGGTGATCGGTC